TGCCAAGACAGAGAGGAGTAATTGTGGAGCTAAAGCCCAACCAACCACATGTTAGGGTCACCTGGAAAACTATTCAAGTACCAAATTTTGAGCCCCATTTTAGCCCCACTGAATTTGAATTTCTGGAGCCAGAATCTGTGCTTTGAAAAAGCTTCCCAGGCAGTTCCAAGGCTGCTGGTCAGGCATTGCAAGCCATTGGCCTATACTGTGCATGCTTTAGGGGACGGGAGTTTGCTACCTCTAGTGATGGCCTGATCCACATGGATGGGACATTCTGCACATCCCAAAACTGGAGAGAGAAAGCGTCCCATTTCGGTGAGTTACCCAAGGCTCTTCCCCTCTGTGCACAGCCCTGAAGAGCTGAAGGGGCTCCCCGTTCTCCCTCTCACCCATTCACTGGCCTCTGGCCCAGAGGATTACTCATTAGGTGGCTGGGAGTGGCCAGCCCCTCAGCAGACACCTGTTATAGGAGCCTGGACTTCCCCCTTAGCTCCAGCGTCCCAGGGGCCTGTAAATAATTCATCCTGGGCCCTCTCCCCACCCCACTGCTCTCATGCACCTCCCTGCCCCGTCCTTTCCAGGCTTCAGAGGTGTCTTGGGGCAGTAGGGAGTTCCAGCCCAGAGCTGGGACTGGAGCCCAGGGTTCCTGGCTGTCATTAAAAATATGAATTCACACATACACTTGGTAAAGATTTAAAAACCCCAAAGTCTCCCTCCTACCTGTGGCTTTCCAAACTCTAGTGCCCTTCCCAGAGGCAGCCCCTATTACTGGCTCCTTGTATATTCTTTCAGAAAGAACTGTATGGGTGCTCAGATGTTTGGGTATGTGTGTGTCTCCCCCGTTTTTGTACCATTACTATTTACACTATTCTGTCTTGCTTTCCCCCCCCTCCACACACACATCTTAGAAATTGCTCCATATTGGGACATATGGGGTTTTGAAATTTCTTTTTAATGACTGCATAATGCTCCTCTCCATGAATGCACCATCCCTTCTCTCACCAGCTCTCTGCTTGTACACATGTATGTTGTCTTTTGTCTTGTGCTATCAGAAACAGATGGAGCTTTGGGCAGCTCTTGGTAGGATCAGTTGCTGGAAGTGGGATTCTTGGGTCAGAGGGTATGTGCCTGTTAAATGAGGCTAGATATCGCCAAGTTGGGCACTAAGGAGGATGTTTCAGTTCTCACTCCTGGAACAGCATATGGGATTCCCCGGTTTCTGAGCCACACAGTGTGATAGCAAACATTTTGTTCTTTGGCAGAGCCATTTTCTTGCACTAAAATTGTGTGTTTCAAGCAGCTCCACCAGAGAGAAGTTGGCCAATGGGTTCCTGAGCCCACCAGCTCCCCTCCAGAGCCCAAAGAGGGGTGACAAGGCCTGTGGGCCAGGTCTTTACTGGCAGCCTTGCCAGGACAGAGAGGAGTAATTGTGCAGCTAAACCCTATCTCCATCTGGTCTCACTCCTGACCCCCCTCACTTGTGGAAGAGCTGGGCCTGAGGTCAGGACACCTGAGCCTTGGTTCATACCATGACCAGTCAGGACAGCCCTCTGCAGGTGCCCTTTCTGAGCCCATTTCCCCCCACCTATAAAATGGTTGTCATGGGTCTGGGCTTGCTCATCAGAAGAGGCAAGAGTGGGTGCTAGGACTCTAAGGAAAAGGCACCTCCAGGACCACTGCCTGTGATATCTAGGCCAAGGTCTGGGTGGGCAGGGAGCCTCATGCCCTGCCTCAGGCCCGTCCTCCTGGGGGTGGATGTGAGTCCTCTGGGCATTTTAAGGGCCTCCAGCCTGGGGCTCTCAGCGGCCTTCCCTCACCATGGTCTGGGCTCTTCTTTCCCAGAAGTAGCAATGGAAGGGTGGTCTGCTGTTTAAGCTTCTGTTACCAACACTTTAGGGGCTCCATGGCAGACTCAGTGGGCCCTAAATATGGCTGCATGAGGAGTTGTGCCCTGGAGAGGCAGCAAGAGCTCTAGAGCAGGAGGCATGGCCTTGGGCAGGCCTGTGCCTGCCTGTGGCCTCAGTGACCCTGACTACACAGGGAGGCTGGACTAGAAGGGCTCACCAGGCCTCTTCTTTGGCCCTCCAGCTGCCATGCAACCATTGCGAGCCCCAGTGTCTTCCTCAGTAAAGTGGGAGGAGACTAAACTCTGACAACCACTTCCGGCTTTAGCCCAGTGAACCCAGTGGGTCTGTGGATTCAGAGCCATGTTGGTCTCCAGTGCTGGTGGCATTAGGCAGAACTGTTTTTGAGCCGGCATTGCATTTTCTAGGCCAAGGAGGGGCCCTATCTGGAGCCAAGGCCTGGGCAGCCACTCCCTTATCCCTTTCCTGGGGCCAAGCCTGGCTAAAGGCCGAGGCTATCCCGTGCTATGCTGGGCAGCGGACTGAGGTCAGTGGACGTGGAAGCGTCCGGTGCGGTTCCTCTGCTCTGGCAGAAAACTCAGGGAAAAGCTGCCCAGGAACATCTGCTGTCTCCCATCCTCCACAAAGCCATTTGGCTCACGGGGAGCCCAGTGGCTGTCCTGCCAAGCTGCGTGGGCTTGGTGGAGTGGGACAGGCATCAGAATGGGGGTGGGTAGATGGTTAGTGCAGGGGTGCTGAGGGACAGGCAGGGCCAGGGCTGAGACCCAGGAAGGTGAAGGCTGGGCTGTGGTGGGGGCACTTGGGAGAGGTGGGAGGGGTTGATGGTCTTTCAGAGACCCACCATGCCTGGGTGGGAGCATGTGTGGGTCTGGAAGTGCTTGCGTGCGCCTCCTATTTATAGCCACGTGCTCAGCTTCTTATAAAGGAAATTGGTGCTTAGCCAGGCCCCACACCAGCCCAGGCCAAGCATGACTCCCAGTATTCTCTCCAGACAGACCTCTGATCCGAGTCCCAAAGAAAGCCCTGATATTAACCTCAGCTCTGGGCCCCAGGCTGAGCACCGAAACAAAGCCAAGCCACCGCCCTCCCTCTTGGGTTATGGCAGCTCTCCCTGCACTTCCCCTTCCTCCTACAAATCTGTTCTCCATGCACTAGCCAGAGTAATATTAAAACCTACATCAGACTTCATGTCTCCTCTGCTCAGAATCCTGCAGTGGCTCCTGTCCCAGACACAGGAAAACCCAGAGTCCCTCCCCTTGTCTCCTGTCCCAACCCCTTCTCACTGTACCTCAGCTCCATCAGCTTCCTCACAGTTCCTCACTGGCAGACAGCAGGCAGACAGCAGGCAGACAGCAGGCATGCCCCACCTCGGGGCCTTTGCACTTGCTGTTCCCTCTGCCTAGAAGCCTCTCCCCAGACGTCTGCATGACTCTTTTTTTTTTTTTTTTCTTGAGATGGAGTCTCACTCGGTCACCCAGGCTGGAGTGCAGTGGTGTAATCTAGGCTCACCGCGACCTCCACCTCCCAGGTTCAAGCAATTCTCCTGTTCCCCTGCCTCAGTCTCCCGGGTAGCTGGGATTACAGATGTATGCCACCACGCCCAGCTAATTTTTGTATTTTTTAGTAGAGATGGGGTTTCACCATGTTGGCCAGGCTGGTCTTGAACTCCTGACCTCAGGTGATCCACCTGCCTCAGCCTCTCATAAAGTGCTGGGATTACAGGTGTGAACCACCATGCCCGGCCCTGCATGACTCTTTCCTGTACCTCCTTTAGAACTTTGCTGAAATTTTGTATTTTTTAGTAGAGATGGGGTTTCACCATATTGGCCAGGCTGGTCTTGAACTCCTGACCTCAGGTGATCCACCTGCCTCAGCCACCCATAAAGTGCTGGGATTACAGGTGTAAACCACCACGCCCGGCCCTGCATGACTCTTTCCTGTACCTCCTTTAGAGCTTTGCTGAAGTTCTCCTTCTCATGAAGGCCTTCAACAGCACATTCTATTTAAAATCACAACCCGTCTCCTCCCTAAATTCCCGATCCTCCTTCCCTGCCTCCTTTTCTCCTGAAACACTTATCAATTAGTGTATCAAATATTTTATATGCTTATTTTTCTTTTCATCCACTTACCTCCCTAGAACCTAAGCATCATGAGGACCGGCGCTTGATTTTGCTCAGTGTTGTAGCCCAGTGCTTGGCTCACAGCAGGAACTCAGTGAGGATCTGTGGGATGAGCTGTATCTCTCCTGCCCGGTGCCTGGACATAGAGGGAAGTGTGGACGGCTTGGGCAGACCAGCCTCCGGCCCCTCGTGCAGGCCCAGTTCAGGGCTTGGTATCGTGAGCCAGAGCCTTTGAGGTAACTGACAGGCCCTAGGGGTCCACTGTCCACCAGCAGCCCCAGTCCTCCTTGACTGACGTTGAGGCCATCCCCAGGCATTGGGCAGGAACTGGGGAGCCCACACCTGGGACAGTTCCAGATTCTTTCTGCTTCCGCCTCTACTTGTAGTGGCTCTTCCCTTCTCTCTTCTCTTGCACAGGAGGAAGGAGCAGCTGCCTGCCGTCTCATTAGTCTTAATCACTCTTGCCTGCTCAGTATCCCCTCCGTGTCTCCAGAATTCAAACCCATCTGAGATCTGACCACAGAGTCAAAACCACCTGAAGAGTTTGTTAAAAATGCAGATTCCACCCCCAGGCTTTCTGATTAACTGGTCAGGGATGCGCCAAAGCTGTGTTCTTCACAAGCTCCTGGAGAATGGCTGCTGTGCAGCCACATCTGGAAGCTGCTGGTTTAAAGTTGTTGGAGCTGGCCTTCAGAATAGGGCTCTGGGTCAGGAGACCTGGGTTGAAGCTGCAGCTCCATCAGCAGCCTGCTGTGTAACCCTGAGCTAGTTGCTTTGCCCACTTCACTGCCTCCCTGATGGGCATGGGAGGAGCACTTGCCTCCCAGACTGTGAGTCTGTGGGTCTGAGTCTGGGAGATGACTGTTTTCCCTCAGCCTGGGGTGTATGTCTTTCCCCACCTCAGGGTCCTCCTTCAGGGAGCCTGGATTGTCTTCCTCCTAGGGGTCCTGCCTGGGCCTTTTTTGCAGCCTCTCCTCCCAACTCACCTTCCTTCCTGGCTTCTTCTGCTTCTCAGGTAAGACTCGGACCAAGGACAAGTACCGCGTGGTCTACACTGACCACCAACGCCTGGAGCTGGAGAAGGAGTTTCATTACAGCCGTTACATCACAATCCGGCGGAAATCAGAGCTGGCTGCCAATCTGGGGCTCACTGAACGGCAGGTGTGTCTGTCGTCCTATCTCAGCCATAGGAGCAGTGCGAGGACTCTGGTCTCTAGGCTGCCAGGCAGATGACAGAGCTCAGTAGAAGGAAAACAGAGAGGTTGAGTCTCCAGGCCATTGTCACACAGCACAGCAGAAACTGAGGTGCTACCAGCACCCTCCCTTAACAAAACCCAATATCCTTGCCCCCAAAGGGGATGGGGTAAGGGGATCTGATTAGCCACAGGCTACAGCAGGCTATGATTAGTGCTGTAGAAGGTGCACATGCTATTTACATTACGGGAGCAGTCACAGGGAAAACAGGGAAGGCTTCCTGGAAGAAGCATGGCCTGGGAAGATGGAAAGGGGGAAGGTTATAGAGAAGGGCATCTCCAGGGTAGGGGTGCAAGGTCTAGAAGGGGAGAATGAATTCAGGGTCCATGTGGTCTGGGAGGCTGGAAAGGAGATAAGCTACAAAGCCGCATGGAGAAATAGGGGCTCACTGGCCTCATCTCTCCTTCTTGAGCTCTCTCCTTCACTCTCTCCCCGCTGCCCACTCCATCTCTGTCTTCCAACCCCACAGGTGAAGATCTGGTTCCAAAACCGGCGGGCAAAGGAGCGCAAAGTGAACAAGAAGAAACAGCAGCAGCAACAGCCCCCACAGCCACCGACAGCCCACGACATTACTGCCACCCCAGCCGGGCCGTCCCTGGGGGGCCTGTGCCCCAGCAACACTAGCCTCCTGGCCACCTCCTCCCCAATGCCTGTCAAAGAGGAGTTTCTGCCATAGCCCCATGCCCAGCCTGTGCGCCGGGAGACCTGGGGACTTGGGGGCTGGGAGTGTGGTTCCTGTGGGCCCAGGAGGTCTGGGCTGAGTCAGCCCTGATGTTCTGGGACATGGTGGACAGTCATCTACCCCCCTCTGCATCCCCTTGGCCCATCTGTGCAGTAAGCCTGTTGGATAAAGACCTTCCAGCTCCTGTGTTCTAGACCTCTGAGGGATAAGAGGGTCCAGGGTGGATGATCTCAACCGCCCATGGGCATCTCAAGCCCCAAATTGTTGGGGGAGGGGCCTAGACAAGGCTTCAGGCCCTACCTCCTCCTCCATACGTTCAGAGATGCAGCTGGAGGCTCCTGTGGGGACCAGACTGATCCTGGAGAAAAGGGATGGAGCTAAAAAAGATGAATGCTTGCAGAGCATGACATGAGGAGGGAGGAATGTGGTCACCTCACACCTGCCTCTCCCTGCAGCCTCACCTCTACCTGCCCCCATCATAAGGGCGCTGAGCCCTCCCCAGGCTGGATGCTAAGCACAAAACCCATAGCACTGGGCTCTGATGACTGCTCCACTGGGTTGCAGAATCACAACCCTCATGATCATTCTCAGTGAGGCCTCTGGATTGAGAGGGAGGCCCTGGGAGGAAAGAAGGGGGCAGAGTCTACCCTACCTGGTTTCTACACCCCCACCAGGCTGTCCATCAGGGCCCAGGGAGCCCCCAGAGGACTTTTTCCAGACCAAGCAGAGCTCACAGCTGGACAGGTGTTGTATATAGAGTGGAATCTCTTGGATGCAGCTTCAAGAATAAATTTTTCTTCTCTTTTCAAAAATGTATAAAAATCATTATACATAGCATTAAAGAAACATTTTTGAGAAGTACAAACCATCCTCACCTTCCCCAGCAATTGTGTATTCCTTTCCCATTTGTTTAGGCCTGCAACAAGGTCACCTTTAAAATACATTTGAAAGATCAAAACAGAACACTATTCGAGTTGGTCTATGAGACTATGTAAAAATGTGAGTCCATTCTGTAAGCAGAATCATCAGACTCAACATACCAGTCTTCTGAATTTTTCAGGAATGTTCAGTTCAGGTTTTTCTTTCAATAGATGACATTCATTGCTCACCCCCATGTGCCACGCATGGCTGGGCCTGGAAAGCACATAGTCCTTGTCCCCTAGACTGGAGGAGGGGTGTGAGGGCATGGCCTGGGAAGATGTGGAGGGGGAAGGTTATGGAGAAGGGCATCTCCAGGGTGGGGGAACAAGATCTAGAGGGGGAGAATGCATTCAGGGTATATGTGGTCTGGGCAGCTGGAGCAGGAGAGAAGCTACAAAGCCCCCCTCAGGGTCTGACTTCAGGGATCCTGAATTGCTCTTCAGAAGTCCCCAGTCCAGTGGGGAAGACTGCCATGCACACAGATGACACTAATATAACAGGATAAAGGCCAATCAGAGCTATGCTCTGAGCATCAAGGGAGCCAGAGCATCCAGTGAGAGCAGAGCACACACCTAGCTTATCCTGGAAGGCTTCCTGGAGGAGGTAATGTTTGAACTGAGACTGAAAAAGACTAGCGAGTGTGGATCAGGCCAAGAAGGGAATAAAGGAGAAAAGGAACTTGAGCAATATGAACTGAAAGTATACTTTTTTTTTGAACTCTTGGGAGTCTCCTACCTGGGGCCTTCTCTCCCCGGGGGCTCCGGTGCCAGCTGCTTACCCCTCTGTTTACTGTTCTGGGAGGTGGCCAGGCCATAAAAACTGTGTACAGCCTGCCTGGCATCGCCCTTTGCTCCCACGATAACAGTGCACAAGGTGGATCCTGGCCCGGCACAGGCCCCTGAAGTGCAACAGGCACTTCTATCTCTCCTCCTACCAGTGGCCTGGGAGACAGTGGGCCTTCATTAGTCATGGTGGACACCTGAGGCTTGGGAAAGAACCAGGGTTCCAAGAGCAGAGGGAGAGGGGCTGGTGAAAAGCGGCTGGCATGGAGTGAATAGAGTTTTCTGATCTTCAAAAAAATATGCTTTGCGACCCTGGGGTAACTGCTTACCCCCTTTGGGCCTGCATTTCACCATCTGTAAAATTGGGGAAGTTGTCTACCAAAAAGAAATAACTCTGGTCAAGTAAGTTCGGGAAATCCGGCAGAAGCCACTCCTCTGATAGAGTCACAGTGGGTCATTAGCACATCAAAGTCTCCGACAAGCCACACAGCAAAGAAACCCCTTGAATTTTCTTTCATCCGGCATTCCCCCACCCTGCCCCCCCCCCCCCGCCCGCACTTTGCTACCTCGGAGGCCCCTACTCACACCTCCCAGCATCCCACTGAACTCCACACACTCTGCAGTGCTGGGATGTTCAGGCTGGAGGGCCACACCTTCTCTGTGACTCAGTATTTAGCAGCAGCTTTTGCCATCAGATGGCCTGGATTTCAGCGTGACTACTTCCAAGCTGGGAGTCTTCAGGCAAGTCACTTAGCTTCTTGGAGCCTCGGCCTCCTCATGTGTCAAATGGAAATAAAATAGTCTAACTGAGCTTAGAATTGTGTTTCGCTCAGGGCCCAGCACATAAGAAGTTCTTGTTTTTGAGCCACCTCTCACGGGGCTGCTGCATCCCAGTGTGAGAGGCTGGCAGGCCCGGCTGATGTTCTACCCACCTGAAGGAGGACAAGCCTGTCTCTGCATTAGGAAGACTCTGCCTGGCAGGAGGTCAGTGGTCACTCCTCTGATAGAGTCACAGTGGCGCATTACCACATCAAAGGGTGAGCTGCAGCAGTCGCCCACATGGGAGATCAGGAGGTTGGATGCGACCCACAGGTTGGGTTGGTGATCACCTACCAGTGGGTCTTTAGCCCCATGAAAAAGGAAACTCATCTAAGACAACTTCCAAGTGGTGCTACTTGCTGCCTTGTGCCTAGTGATTCCCCATCACCCAGAGTTCCACCAGAGATTGGGGGGCTGTAATGGCTCGGGAAAAAGACCCTTCAAGTCTAGCCAGATCTTAAGCCACCCCGGGGTAAAAGGTGCCCAGCTCTCCCATCAGGAATGGCCCGGGATAAGAGGTACTCAGCTCTCCTGTTAGGAATGGCCCGTGCTGCTTTGCTTACAGTGACTTTGTGCTGGCCTTCCAAGGCCCACAGACTGCTTATGTCCTCTAGCAAATCAGAATTGTGCATGTCAACACTGTTTACATACAATTTCAGGGAGTCCATAGACTCCTAACCCTGTGCTGAGAAGCTGTCTTGTAGAAAAGCCAGTCCCATCATTGATTGCCAAGAGATTGGTGTGGACTGAGCAGAACAGTTGCAGCGCTACTCTAGGGAGGGACTCGGGGTTGGGAATGGAGTATTCTGAGAGAGGAGGGTTCCAGCAGCCAAGAGTGTGTGTGTGTGCGTGTATGTGTGTGTATGTGTAATGGGCTGTGATAGAGATACAGGGGTTAGAACAGGAGGACAGTGGAGCTCTGAGGAAATCAGCCTGGCCCTGAGTGTTTGAGAAGATCTGCCAGGGGGATGCAGAGCTGGGGAGCACAGCTGGCCTCGGCCAGGGCAACTTTGGAGGGCAGTCCCATCCCAGCCAGGCAGCTCTGGGATCACTTCCTCTGAACCACTCCAGATGGACTAGCAGCCTGGAATCTTGTTTTTCACAGTCGTCACTCTCTGGTGTGACAAACACATGCTCTACAGTGATAAAATCTGAACATTTAAGCAAATTAAAAATGTTTATTTATATACATTTAAAAATATCTCCATATATAATAAAAGAAAGTACATTTCATCTGACACTTTCCTTAAGCCACACACACACATCTCCACTGCACTTCTGGTTTGATATGAGACCAGAACAGAGGGAGAGAAGAGGGAAAGGGAGAGTGAATATTTACCATTTGGATTCCTAAGCAGTCATTTTGCCAAGAATCATTCAAAACCCCTCTGGAATTGGGGAGAGGAGATGGTGACAGCAATTGTTAAATGTGCTTGGTTGCCAGACTCCTGGCCAGTTGTATGATCATAAAATTGGAGCTTCAGTGGGTAGATTGATTTATGTGGATAATGTCTTTTAGAAAATGTTGGAGTTTTGGCTGGGCACAGTGGCTCACGCTTGTAATCCCAGCACTTTGGGAGGCGGAGGCAGGCAGATCCCTTGAGCTCAGGAGTTCAAGATCAGCCTGGATAATATAGCAAGACCCCGTCTCTACAAAAAAAATACACAAATTAGCCAGTCATGGTGGCACACACCTGTAGTCCCAGTTACTTGGGAGGCTGAGGTGGGAGGGTCGCTTGAGTTCAGGAAGCGAAGGTTGTGGTGAGCCAAGATGGAGCCACTGCACCTCAGCCTGGGTAATAGAGCAAGACTGTGTCTCAGTAAAAAAAAAAAAAAAAACGAAAGAAAGAAAGAAAAAGAAAAGAAAAGAAAAGAAAATCTTTGAGTTTTGTTGTTTTGTTTGTTTTATGAAAGGGCTGACTTTCCCCACCAGGGCTGTGGGGATGGAGAAGACGATGGCAGAGAGGTACGAGCTAGAGGTCAGAGCCTGGTGAGGTCAGACTCCTAGGTTACAGACATGACTCTGTCTTTACTGAATCACTGAGTGATTTTGCAAATCCTGCCCCTCTGCGCCTCAGTTTCCCCATCTGAAAGGCATGAGCCTAGATCCATTTGCACCTCACAACCCCAGTGACTGCCACGGTGGCTCAGTGTTCGCCCCCTCGTGTGTCTGCCCAAGGGAGGCTAAAGTCCTGGCCCGCTCCCTTCTTCTCCCCCAGAGCTGGGTCTGTGAAGTGGGAGGAGCAGGTGCTGCTAGGAAGGGTCATAAAGAGGCCAGGCTTCTCAGCTCCTGAGCCAACTGCCTCACCCCTGCTCGCTGTCCCTGTGACTCTCTGTGCCTTCCAAAGGGTCTCATGAAACCCAAGTGCCAATGGGAGAGAGTGGTTGAGCAAGGCTCTTTTGTACAAGATGCATTAACAAGCCCAGGGCAAGGGATGGGGAAGGGTCCTGCCTGGACCTCCTTGGATTCAGGAGCCCTTGGCTTCTGCCTCTCCCGGCCATGACCCACAGTCTTCCTAGGTTCATTCCCAATACCCAGTGTATGACTTCACTCCTATGGGACAGTTGCCTCAGGTGTAAAATCAGATGCACAAACCTGTCTTCCCAGACAGTTGGAAATAATTAAAAATTAGATGTTGGATGCAAAAATCCTTCACAATGCACACAGTAGGGCTCCATAAATGCTCCTTCTCTTCACACTCACAGCCACTCTCGGTCCCATATGGGTCAGCAGGCAGAGGGCAGAGGAGACACCTTCCTCTTGGGTCTGGAGAGTCCCTGGTCTGCCCTTGGTGGCCAGGCTCAAAGGGAAGAGCAGTTTGCTAGGACCTGGGCAGGGGGAGAGGTGGATTGGAACCTGGCCAGGCCTTTACCCAAGTCCATGCTTTGACTTAAACCCCTCCAACCTTTTATCAAGCCCCAGAGGTGGGAGAGAGCAGACCCTTATTCACATCTCTCCCCAGAGGTCTCCCCCACCATGTCAACTGATAGGAAGCCAAACAGATGTATGATTAATGTCTGAACTGGCACACTTGCGAGGGTGAGAACGGCACAATTTGTAATGTATATACTGGTCCACTAGCGTATATCAATCAGTCCCAGCAAACCAATGTGTGCCATCGCTCCAGCTCATCATTTCCCATCCTAGCCACAGGCTCACTAGACCCTCAGGACATTCTGAGGCAGCCATGCATGGGCTGGCTCATGGCCCATTTTACAGATGTGAAATTAGAACTTTCCAGAAGCCATACTGCTGCTGGACAGGAAACCAGTTATTGATGATCTAAGTCCCAGATCACAGTGACACTGTGGCACTTGTTGTCCCTTCTGCTCACCCAA